GGTCAGTCCCCCAACAATTTCCACCCCAAACAAACCTCCTTATCAGCTGATTGCCCGCTGCGCCACCTTGACACAGACCCGGAACCCACTTATGATTTCTGGATGGTCGCACAGATGTGCTAGCGGAACTCAACTGGTGCATGTGGGACTTGGGCCCCGCAGAAAGAACGGGCGGCGGTTGAAAAAACCTCAACACAAAGAGAAAAAAGAGCCACAGTCCTTTGGGACGATACAGAGAAGATTAGCATGGCCCCTGCGCAAGGATGATTTTTAATTAAAAAATAAAAAGGAAAAAAAAGAGCCACGGGACACGAGCCTGAGTTGGCGAAGCTCCACTTCCAAGGCTCGCGACCCTCCCTACCGCACTTTTCTCAAGTGGCCTGCCGCTTTTGCTACCGGCCCAGGGATCGAAGACCTCCACCTCTCACCGCGTACATTACTTAGGTTCGTGTGAACTGGGGGCTTAATCAAAGCTCGAATCCGGACCGTGAGCTGTCCAAAGGTTGACGGCCCAGATCGTTGCAAGATGTAACAAATCTCGAATCGACGCCGTCGCGTCGCACTTTGCCAATGACCTGGATCGTCTTTAGGCCCGGCACCCCACTGGGCCAACGGCCTCGATTGGCCTATTGGTAGAATCTGCCTACCGGTGCCGATAGGCCCTACGCCGGCCTACCAGTAGGCCTACCGCCACCCTCCCGAACAATACTGGCAGTGCGTGTGTGTCCGTGCTTGCGTGTGCATTGTGTGTGTGTGCATGACAGCGTGCATTCGTGCGTCTGTTTGCATGTGTGCCGCTGCGGGTGTGGGGGTGCTGTGCTTGCCACATACACAGACACAGAGAGAGAGAGAGAGAGAGAGAGAGAGAGAGAGAGAGAGGGCCGCAGGGAAGAATGAGCAGTGTGCTGCTCTGGATTGATGCTAGAAGCCGCTAAGAGTCGAAACTTTTTCTCTCGTCGTCGGAGCGGTGAACGGCTCCGCGCGAAAGGGGTAAGCCGCGATCTTATCCTCCCTCCTCCTCCGTCTCCTCCTCCTCCTCCTCGCTTTGCCCTTGGACACTCCATCCTTCGACATCCTGTCGCAATCCCCCCCCCGTCTTCACCTGTTTTACCCATTTCTCTCTTCCCCCGTGGCGACTTTCCCCCGCGGTGACCTTTCCTCGCCAACATCTTCACATTTTAAGCTCCGGCTGCTTCTTGCGCACTCTCCCGCCCTGCTTGCGCTCGTGCCACCATTTTCTATCTCACTCAAGCATATCGTTGGTTGAGTGCAGATGAGCAGCTTCCGCCGATTTTGTTGATGTGTGTGTGTGTGTGTGTGAGAGAGAGAGAGAGAGAGAGAGAGAGAGAGAGAGAGAGAGAGAGAGAGAGAGAGAGAGAGAGAGAGAGAGA